AAATAATTTTCTATTACTTATCTCAAATTCCTACCAGATAATGGTTTTAACCGGTTTCGCGAAATAGAGTAAAAGAAAATCTGCCATACAACGAAACTGCGCGGGTGCCCTGCCATTTGCCCTCATTTCCAAATTTTATTTCGTAAGTTATTTCGTAATTTCGTAATACAGCTAAGTTTCAGATTTCAAGAATTTTGTTAATCAAACGGTATGGGGCTGATCGTATCAATTCAGCTTTTGAATTTCGCTGTGTCCTGCCTTAACTGATGTGAGCTTCAAATGCAGCCTAATTTTCACTCAAGCGGAACGCTCCACAGGCTTAGAATTTGGAGAGTTTAATTCACTGGACAGTGTAACATGAAGGGCCAAATCAAACGCCGATTTGTGTGTAGTAAGTTATAAACTAAGGTCTGATCCCAGTTAGCTTTATAACAGAATGGGTCAAGCTGTAAATTGGACAAGCACCGCATTTCAGATTTTCAGTGCAACAGACTTTTGGATATATCTTTATGTATAATTTCATGCGCATAATTGGAACTCTCCGCAAAAACGTGTTGTCACATCTTCAGCGCGTGTGAAACCTGGCGTTAGTTTCGGCATATGCGAAGCCAATATGCAAATTTCGGGGATTTCCAGGGCTACAAAATTGGTTAATTTCTACTGTACAGTGCAGTATATCGTGCTGCGTGCTGCTTTGTGGTGAGTGAACTGTGAGGGGAAAACGTGCTCGCTTCGATGGACCAAACGGATAATGGTAATCTAATGATCAGCGAGGAGTCGAACAATCAGGATGCTGCTGCTCGCGCATTACTGGCACAGTTTTGTCTTCCACCACAGCAGTCAGCCTCGTTTGTTTTCATGAACTTTATCAAAAACTGCACTGTTCTTATTGTGTCACATGTGGATTCTGAATAGATGAATACGTCCCCCAAATGGCCTCATCTGTCCTGACAGTTGGTTACATTTCCATTCGGCAAGCAGTGTTTAACAAACCTCTTAAAAGCTTACTCATTTAACTTGTTGCAGACCACACAGTAGGGCTGGAATTCTCTCTTTCTTAATTCCTCTCCCCTCACCGCTCAGTTAGGATTTGGTGGAATAGCAGATTTAGCTTTCGCTTGTCCCTCCAGTTCACGCTGACTGTCCGCGCCACGCTAGTGGTACTCACTTGGAATATTTGGGGA